ATATAGCGAAAAAAATAGTTGCTTAATATGACAAGTTGTTTTATAAATCAAAATTATTCTTCAGCAACCATATATTACCAAATAATCTGATCTTGAGAGACCATTTTATTTCACGCCAATATACTTTTAAATGATGAAATTATTAATTGTTTACCAAATATATGAAGAAATGAATGTGTTGCACTAACATTTTTACGAAACCCGCTGAATTTGGAAAACTCAAGGTTAACGGGTTCATGTTAATTATACTACATTATTACTAATCTCGATGGAGAGGCAGAGGTCTTTCGAAGTTCTTCATCTTGATGTAATGTATCTCATAGTTTTAAATATTTTATTTCAGGATGAAACTTTTAACCTAGGTATGTTCAAGCAAAGATCAACATACAGAAGTTCGTGGTTCGTACACTTTCTTATTACCTTTTGGTGCTTCGAAGTTTGTGTTTGAGTCCTTTTGTTCTATTGCAGATTCTTTTGCCGACCCTTATTTTATTCCTTGCCCAAGTCAATATCTTCTGGATAGTTATTTGTTAGACGTTAATGCAGCCCAACAGCTTAGCCTCGTTTAAAATCGTTGAAGAAGTCCATATTGTCTTTTAAATCGCCTGAACATTTCTAAAAACTATGGTCTATTTCCACCATGGAATTCAATTTGTCAGAAAAAGGTTACGTAATGTCGATGACTTTTCCTACTTGTAAAATGTTGATAATATGAGACCCGGCAACACACCGGTTCATGGCAAATGTGTTCACAGTGAATTCAAAAAACCTTATAATTGTAGTTCCGTTTACGTGAAAATTCTGTCGACTTTAAGTACCAAATATTCACAATGTGCTTAATTTTCTCCGCTGATCAATAAGTCAGCTCAGTTTTATAAGACCAATTTATTGACGGCACTGTTACTGTTTTTTCCCCATCATATTTTTACAGCTGATATAGTGTGAAGGGTTACCACAGTCTTGGGGTCCTTTTTTATCTAAGTGTGCAGTTTCGAACCAAGCAGATTTCGTCACATCCAGCATCCGAGTAAAAGAAGAACGCTTCATTAGCTTTAAATACTGTTAAAAATTAGGAATGTGGTTGTGTGCACTTACAAAAATTCGTTTAGTGTTTATTTGTATAATAACTGTTGCACAAATAATTTGTTTACAGTACATGAAATTTTTTTAGGTTTTTATAAGTAGTAATGATCAATGACTTCCCGACATCCTATTTATGTTGATATTTCAAAGGGAGTTTATCTACGCAAACATATTTTTGACTGTTGCTAATGAATTCGACACACACAATCACTGTACTACTCTTTTATGCCTTCCTGGAGTCCTTTATATATACCCCAAGAAATGAATTTCTCTTATTCATCTAGTCCTCGAAATTCCAAACGTTGGGCCTTCAGTCCTGCTCGTGAATGCTTAACCTCTGGACCACTGAATTGAGATCCAACGGTGTTAGTGTATAATGTCAATCAATCTCCGATACGGCGCAACCATCTTTGATTATCTGATGGGTAACGGCTACACACTCAACACGGTTGAACTCCACTGGTCAAGGTTTCTCACTAGAACTTCGAGAATTCCCTCTCGAAGCTAGCCACTAGTGAGCACATGATAATTGTCAATATAGGGTTGTAGAAATTATTGACTTTCATTGTTCGGTTCACGATTCTCATGAAAATTAACAATCTTAGCAACCATATACTGATGATTCATGAAAGTTTTAAACCTCAGGTAGACACGGCAAACGTTGTGGATAACTGTACTTTGAACTGTGGTTCGTCCGAATTCCCTGTAGTGTGAAATCGGTATCTGCCTACTATCCTGAGTTATTAGAGTTGTTTTGTGTGTCTTCTTTCGAGACCATTTAGAATCTTCTTTAAAGTCATAATAAAAAACAAACCTTGTCCGGAAATAAGGTTACACCAGTTAGCATTTCTGGGGGATCAGTTTTCGAACCCCATAATCAGTATGGGATGTGTTTAACGTACAGTAAATGCAGGAGTGAAATTGGAAATTCCTATATATCAAATAATTCGCGGACATCCCTTGATTCTCAATATTAGGCAGCATATGATGTGAAGCAATAAAGTAACGGTATGATCTATCGTTCAACCTAAAAGCCATGAAAATAAGTTGACGAGAATAAGAAAAATGATACCAAGTGATGGTATCAGAAACAATAGTACCAGAATTGTAAAAAGGTTAACGGGGACGTAGTCAGACTTCCAGCAGGTACCTCAAAAGGGACGATACTTGTGTATTAATTTTTTGATTGAGATCTTGAACCAATTGATGTTAGACCATCACAATTGAAAACCTGGAAGCACTGGACGGCCGTTTCGTCCTATTATGGGACTCCTCAGCAGTGCGCAGTGTGGATTGGTTGATGTTAGAAACTATCACCATTGGATGCCGGCTCAGTGGTCCAGTTGGTTAAGCGTTCGCGCGCGAGACCGAAGGCCCTGGGTTCGAATCCCGCTCGCGGGATCGTGGATGCGCACTGCTGAGGAGTCCCACAATAGGACGAAACGGCCGTCCAGTGCTTCCAGGTTTTCAATTGTGATGGTCTAACATCAATTGGTTCAAGATCTCAATCAAAAACTTAATAATCTCCACAACCCCTATACTATTAATTTTTTTCCAAAAACGGCTGATATAGATAGATCTTGTTAGCCCGACCGTTGTTGCTACCTTGACGTGGTGGTCGGGCTTGCCTATCGTGATGAAGCGACCGAGCTATACTGGCTGGAACAACCGTTCCTCAAGGTCCTACCATGTCAGACAGGTCGGTTGAAGAGCGGTAAGACTAAAAGCAACAAACCCAAGGTCCGAAGGCGAAGTCGTATTGCTGACTGTACAGAGGTGTGACAGCAGTAAGGTGTTTCCTTCAGACAACCAGCATGACAGCGATGCTGCCTTCCTACAAGGAGGGGTGGGGTTAGAAAAGGTCGACCCTAAAAATGTCACACCTCACCTTACCTCACGGATTTCCGTCTCCGGCGGTAAGGCATTTTTGAAGAACGGAGCTAACACGTCAAAAACCTCCCACGAAAAGGCCGTGCGCGACCGGCCTCAAGCAGTTGTCCCTTGGGCACTGCGGTCACGCTATCAGGTCACTAAGACCACCTCTAATCCAATTCCCTTTTCAGGTACCTCCAGAAGAACCCTTCCACGGTGTGGGCAACCGGGAAGTGATAACCGCCCTCATACCTCTAACAGCACGCAAGACCACTGTATTCATAATCAACCTTCCTCTTCAATTCCTATTATTCCTCCTACATCGACTTTCAACCCTAAACCTCCTCCTTCGGCTTCCTCCTCAAGTGTCACCATAGCCAACGGTTCTAGTGCTCAAAACACTCCCAGGTCTACTGAAACCTCGCTCTAAACTACACATTGGAGCCTTCAACGTACGCACCCTATGTCAAATCGGTCAGCAGGCTTCCTTGGCTAGAACCCTAGAGTCTCGTAGGATTGATGTATGCTGTGTCTCTGAAACACGCATACAGGATTCCAGTGTGGTCATTCACTTGACCTCACCTCGGCAAAACGGAGAGTCAACGAGATACACCCTCCGTGTATCTGGTGACCCTATGGCCAGTTCTCGTGGACTAGCAGGTGTAGGCATAGCACTAAGCATGAGGGCGGAACAAGCACTGTTGGAGTGGATCCCCATTAACAGTCGCCTATGTGCTGTTCGGCTAAACGGCTCCGTAAGAACTCGGAAGGATAGGGACACACGTTGCCTTTTTGTCGTTTATGCCTATGCTCCCACCGACTGCAGCTCAGATGAAATGAAAAATGAATCTTACAGAAAGCCATCTGAACTTCTTCAGTAAGCTAGACGTTCAGACATAGTACTTGTAGCAGGTGACTTTAATGCCCATATAGGTAGCTTAAAGCAAACAGAAAGGCATTTAGGTGGATATTTTAGCATTCCGGCACAGCGAACAGATAATGGTGATCGTCTGCTGCAACTATGCTCAGACAATCGCTTATTTTTAGCAAACACAAATTTTAAGCATAAAGAGAGACATCGTCTAACCTGGCGACCGCCTGCACCAAACCAACGATGGACTCAAATAGACCATATTGCCATCAGTCATCGTTGGAGAGGGTTGGTAGAAGATTGTCGCTCATTCTGGAGTACCTGCTTGGACTCCGACCACGCCCTAATACGGGCACGCATCTGCTTGCGCCTCACTGGACGCAAAAAGGCCACAGTAAAAGACCCATTAGAACCGAACTGAGTAGCGAGGAAACCAAAAGTAGGTTCCAGGAACAACTGAGGTCACGGTTAGGCAGTTCTGAAGACGAGGCTGACCCAGATGTTGCTTGGAATGAAATACAAGCAGCTGTGGAAACAGCAGTGACATCTATTAGCGACTTAAACCACAGAGTTTCAAAGAACCAGTGGATTTCTTCAAAGTCTATCACACTGATGGATTCTCGCAAACTCGTCCCATCAGGTTCTGAACATGATGAAGAGCGACAACAAATCAGATCTACGTTAAGAAAAAGTCTAAGAAACGACCGTAAGCAGTGGTGGGCAACGAAAGCAAAAGAGATGGAAAAGGCGGCGACTATAGGGAACACAAGACATCTTTACAGACTAATAAAAGAAACTGGAATTAATAAGTCAAGTGTAAGTGAGATTATATCGGAAAAAGACGATACACTCATCTGCTCCCAGTCCAGGCGTTTAGAACGATGGGCGGAACATTTCAGAGAGCAGTTCAGCTGGCCTTCAGCTACTCTACAACTACCCTCCATTCCCAGACAGTGTGAATGGAACATTGAAGTAGGTCCCCCAACTCTTGCTGAAGTTCAAAAGGCTATAGTTAATCTGAAACGAGGAAGGGCAGCTGGTCCAGATGGATTGGCTCCAGAGGTCTTTAAGGATGGTGGTCCAATTTTAGCGATTAGGTTGACTAATATTTTAGCTAAAATCTGGGAGTTAGACGTTATCCCATCTAACTGGTCACAATCGCTTATCGTCCCAATATATAAGAAAGGGTCAAAATCATCCTGTGACAACCACAGAGGGATTAGTTTAACTAATATAGTATCTAAAATACTAGCCTCGATAATTATCAGACGCCTAACTAAGACTCGTGAACTGCAAACACGAGAGAACCAAGCTGGCTTTAGACCTGGTCGTGGCTGCATCGACCACATATTCACCATTCGTCAGATTCTAGAACACAGGCATACTTATCGGCGTCCGACAATGGTGGTCTTTCTCGACTTAAAAGCATCATTTGACTCGGTAGACCGCGAGATTCTGTGGCAGTGTCTGTCATTGAAAGGCGTACCCCAGAAGTACATAAACCTTGGAAAGGCTCTTTACTCGAACACTACTAGTCGAGTCAGAGCTTATGGCGAACTGTCATCTACTTTTGCAACCTCAAGTGGTGTCCGTCAAGGCTGTCCACTTTCCCCATTTTTGTTTAACTTCATCATAGATCTACTGATGGAAATAACTTTCTCGTCGACTGAGTTCTCGGGTATTGATCTCCTACCAGGAGGTCCACTTATCGACTTAGAATACGCAGATGATATAGTCCTGTTTGGTGAAGACGCTGATAAAATGCAGTCTTCTGGTAGCACTGAGCAACAATGCCAGAATGTTTGGAATGCGCTTCTCCTCCTCTAAATGCAAGTTGTTGCTTCAGGACTGGTCTGGGTCAACACCTGAACTAAGGATAGGGAGTGAAGTAGTCGAACGCGTTGACAACTTCACTTATCTTGGAAGTCTGATCAGCCCTAATGGGTTGGTATCGGACGAAATCTCAGCACGGATTCGAAAAGCTCGTTTGGCTTTTGCCAACTTGCGTCACCTATGGCGAAGGCGATATATCCGTCTATCAATAAAAGGACGAGTATACTGCGCGGCAGTCCGTTCTGTTTTAATTTACGGCAGCGAAACATGGCCATTAAGAGTAGAAGACACTCGTAAGCTATTAGTATTTGACCACAGATGCCTTAGAAATATTGCTGGCATCTGCTGGGATCACCGGGTAAGTAATAGTGAGGTTCGACGCAGGGTATTAGGGAATGATGGTAAATCAGTTGATGAGGTTATGAATCTTCATCGACTGAGATGGTTGGGCCACGTATTACGTATGCCTGAACACCGACTACCACGACGTGCAATGCTATCCGGTTTTGGAAATGATTGGAAGAAAGTTAGGGGCGGCCAAACCAAAACGTGGCATCAGTGCTTGAAGTCACTAACTTCTAGTCTGAGCCATTTTGGCAGATGCAGACTACTTGGTTGGGGTCCGCGTGACTATCGTAACCAATGGTTGGAGACTCTTGGTGACATGGCTCAGAATCGATCACAATGGCGTCGGTGTATACACTCCCTGTCTTCCCTTAAACTAAGAGATTAAAATCACTTCATATCTTTCTTTCTACGAACCAATTCTTTCTTCTTGTACTATATCTCTATATGCAATCTTTCTCTTACATGCTATGAATCCGGTGTTCATCTTGTTGTACTGATGCGGTATGGCAACCTGGACCGATGCGTATACGTGCCTGGTCCTACGTTGTAGCTGACTGACTGACTGACTGTTAATATCTGTTGTGCTGATTTCAGATGTTACCAGATCAGGTTGCTGTCTTGATCCTCACAGTTGATACTTGCTAGAAATGGATGATTATCGAAACATTGTTTCTGAAATGTAACGCTATAGCCTAATTGTCAAAGTACTCGGCTTAGAACCACTAAGTTGTAAGTTTGAACTAACACGATTTTCGGCAACCAGGTTGCATTTTTGTTCGATAACTAATTTATTTCCCAAATACAGATATCTGTACTTGGTAAATAAGTTTCACTTCTCAGTGGTTCCTAGAACGTCAAAATACTTTTATAAGTTTTCCTATGACTTGATCTGTTTCATCGCTTATCAGATCCTCCTCCTAACTACAGGCAAAGGTTTGACATCTTTTGGTAGTTCTTCATAGATCATATCCTCAATCAGGGGGATAGTAATTGACAGACAAGCAACAACTCGTAATATCAATCTTTCTGAGTTCTCACCGTTTCATTCATTTAGATAGTGTGAATGCATGTGCTGCTTTCAACTTAATCCTATACTTTCACGCGTGAAACCACGAAAATTCGCTGTTGAATCTCTAGATACCTACCAGGTACAGTGGCATGCTTCCACACGTTGGTGAAATAAAGTCAAGTAATGACACGAGTTCTAGGTATAGAATTCAGAAAGACAAACTTATTTAGTAGAATTCTAAATTTACTGATTGATGATATGTTATCCCATAGTTCTAGCATTAAGGTTTCCGACAAGTAGTTTGACTTACTGTGTCATGACACCACGTTTGGTATTACGTAATCTCAGTTTGTTAACAAGTCTCATATCCGAATGAAGCTAGTGGGGGGTTGGTAAGGTGCCTATGATAAGATAAAGGGAATTAATGTTGAACCGGATAAGCCTAAGACCTGCATATGGTTCGTGGAGGATGGGCACTTTATCCCTCCCTAAACAGTGAAGGGGGCTATGGCTTGGTGCCCATCACTAGTTACTCATTGTCCATTTAAACACCATTCTGACGGTAGTTCTTTATACTATTAATCATTGGTTACTGGTGGGATCCCTATTGCGTAAACATGAAAGTATTAATTCACTAGTAAATTCTCACTAGAAATATGTACATCCTTTGTTATATTTTAGAGAATGATAGTCTTGTCGAAAGTGTCTACTTGGTTTCCGAGCAAGCTGTTTCTGATGAATCACCTTCTTACACTGAGGTTTCGGAGTCTGACAAGTCAGAAAATTCTCTATCCACATCGACGTTCGATTTCGTCAAACTGGACTGCGACCAAAACCATGCGTAAGTCACATTTCCCCACTGTTTATAAACAGTATTATGAAAAGCGTGCTTGTGCTTGATGTGTCGATTTCAAAGTTTTCCTTGACTTTATTTTATGTAGTCACTGAACATGTAGACTTCAATTTGTGGAAGGAATCCAATAATAACCTATAATCTACTTTATCTATTTAAATGGATAGGGTTAATTTGAGTCACGGATCTTGTCGTGTATAAAAGAAATACTTGGGTCACTTTGAAGACAGCTTATGAGAGCATGAACTATAATCACTCTTTGTTAAGTGTTGAATTTGTTCATAAATCTTGGATACTTTACGCTACTTAATAGGAAATAGGTGGTTCCCATTCAGTTTAGACCATGTACATGACAGAGCTACTAAATCCTGTGTTGAATAACCTAACTATTTATTTGATTTGTTTGCAGAGTATATTTTGTAAAACTTTAGGTTACAAATCCCAGTGATGATTTGGATGAAACAACCTCGTTTATTTGATAACTAAGTCATAATTTCCCTTCATTTTCAAAGTTCTTTCAAAGACAGTGTCATTTAAAGTATCTTTGGATGGTTAAAAGATCAGGATGATCAAACTAAAATTTGCTGAGAAGTAGTAAGACATTTAACAACTGAAACGAATCATTCTTCGGACTGTAGACTATTAGAAATGTTTTCTAAAATTCTCTTATTGTCTCATTCGAAAACCATATCTTTCATTTCTTTTTGTGAATGCTATTAAATTGTATAGTGGCCTCAGCAAATGTGTGGTTATTCTGCACTTTTCCTTAACTGAATTAAGTTCAGTAATGTATCTGTATTTTTACGTAAACTGGTTCAAACATTATAGAAATCGTTGTGTTTATAAATATCGTTGATTGACTGCAATTAACCAAATTTAAAGTTCAAAATGATTTTCTGTAGAAACCAAAATACTCATAATGTTGCTTACATTTAGTAATTAATTCATGTTTATGTGGCTGATATCTATTATTTAATCAGGTAAAATGAAATGTTTAAAGCAAATACTATAAAACCTTTAATGTCGCCTTTACTTTGAAACCAATTTGCAGTGCCATTACACAGCCCTCTCCATCTTGTAACTTGGACCAGTTACATTGTTTAAGCATACCTGATGAGAAAGAGCCGACTATTGTATATGAACAATCATGTATCCAATCGTCAACGTACTCTGAAATAAATGCCTCTGATCGGATACATTTTTACTGTAAGTAACTGTTTGACTATTCATGAAATAACAACAGTGAAAACTTACAAATAGAAAAATGTGACAGTTATTTTAACTACTTAGTTTACTTTCAGTACTTTGTGGCGATCAATATAGTTTGAAGATATTTTTCATCTTGAACTGAAAATAGCCACTGCAAACTATGTAACGCTGAACAGCTTTTGCATACTAGTTGGAAAGTTATTCCTGATATTAATTTCTCATCTTTCAAAGCAGACTTAGCTACTATCAAGTAAATTCAGTTTTGTGAACAAAAATGACTACTATTTTTTGACCATATTTCATGAACTTTAAGAGCTGGTTTACAAAGAAAAATATTTCGTTATTCTTGCGATTTTCTTCATATCATCCGTTGGCGTTTTAATCTTACAAATATAACCAAATAATTCAACGACCATTTCGTCTTACAAATGCTTTTATAGCACGTAATGTTTTGGAATTTATTCTGTTATGTGCCTCGTACTTAGTTTGACGTATGATATTGATTAGTTTACCTTTGGATACTAACTGTTTCGCCTATCCTAACTCTAAAGAAAACAAAAAACTTACGGTCCTATGGCACAAATTTATGCACTTGATAATACACTATGCTTTTCGCGTCGCTGGTATCATTTGACTGTTAAGTCTGTAGTTATTTTCACCTGAAATTCCTTCTTGGTTTTCCAACGTATATATATATATATATATATATATATATATATATATATATATATATTTGCAGGTCGAAGTCACATAAATATGAGATTATGGTTTTATTCAATGTTTTAAAATTTTCATTAATGTCTTTCATTTAGTAAAATTACTACACTTAACATTTTCCTACCTTTTCCTGCCTTTTAGTCCGTGATTTTCTTTTGGGAGGCATACTTTTCAGTTTGCTTTTAGGTAAGTCACTTGTGTGGTAGAAACGAACTGTTTTTTTGTCGAATGCTTTTTGTACGTAAATCTGTATGTATACGAAAATAATTAGAGTGGCTATGACTTTCATCTCAATTTTATTATCAGATAAACCAATGGAAGTTAACATCAGTAAATACGGTCAACCCACTGATTACTGTTTTTATTTTCCGACTTGTTGGATGGTTTTACTACGCCATATTATTAAAACAGTGCTTGGTTGTCTTTTTCTCCTATTAGAAGTTAATTCGTTGTAATCGTCTTTAAATATATCAATTTGCTGTTTTGTCTTTCAGAGTTGTTCTATGATGTGGAAATGACTTACCAATTCAACCAATGCCACTTACATTGAATTATGTTTTTTTTAACTGCAGATTTAATATCTACAAGATAGATAAATTTTTCTACAAATGGTATCTACTAGCCTAACAATCTATCACTATAAAAAACATTACTCCATTGTAATAATAATTTTATGTAAATCAGTTTACTCATTGGTGCTGACCTCAATGACGAGTAGAAAAATCGGAAAAGCAGATTGGTTCAAAAATTCCTTGATGACTAGAGTCAACAGTGCACAAGCTAATAAAAAAATTAAAAATACAGTTTTTGAATAGGTGATACTCGACCATTATGTACATTTACTAAGGCAAATGTTTCGTTGACGGCAATATTTTTTTCAAAAGGTAACTGATAAAACTAGACCAATCAACAATAGAATATCAAAAGACGATTCAGTTGATCTTCGTCTGTCTATCATTTCGTTAGACTTTGAATAAAACAATAACCCTTGAAATTTAACTACTGTTGTAAAAAGCTGTTTTCTTGATATCATTCATGTATACAGAGATAAATTGATCTAGAACTTCAACCTACATTCATCCAACCTTCTTATCGTTATGACATACGGCTCACTATTTTTCTTTCTAACAAAAAATAAACAGCAATATTATTTTGATTGTAATGAATTCAAATAAAGATATAAGTTGATTACCACTAGTCGTACATTGAAGTATAATTATGTAATATACAGTTGTATTTTGACTGATAACCGATTAAATTCCTCACTAATAAACAGTCTTTTGTTTCTTTTTCGCAAATATCATATATATATATATCAGGTCACATGCTGTATTCTGAACAATGTTATAAAAGTAAGCAAAAATTCTGTTTACTTTTCTTTGTGTATGACATTTTCTACCAGCTTTTGCATTTTCTTTACTTATTTTACTCTTAAATTGTTTATAAATGATTATATATATACTTCATACGAAAACAGCAGTAGTATTGTACCAAACGATTAAAAAATTACCCTTTTACGTTCTATCACTATAGATTAAGAAAAAAAATTACAATAGTTATCTGTCAATTGCATAAGGAAAGTAAAGCATAACCAAATGGACAAATTCATACGTCTACATATTCTTTTCTTGCTGTTATATTCCAATATAAAGACTTATTAAGTTCATATAAGATAACAATTAAGTTATTCTAAATCTATACGACTATAAGTTTCTTCAATTTTAACACTATGAATTACACCATTTTCTTATTGAGTTGTTGATTTATCAGTAAATTATTTGGTGGTAGTATTTTCAATAGCCGTGAGGTTAATCAACTGTTTTTAATGAAATAAAATAAACCAAGGCTAAATTTATCCCTTTAGATTAGCTTGAATTAAATAAGTAGTTCACTTAACACACTGTCCGCCCCCAAATGCCCTGGTATGGCCGAGAGCGGGGTGGGTCTGCCGTCCCTCTCGAAATACTCTCACACGGCCACGCGTATACAGCCTCTGCCAGGGAAGTCCTACTCACTGCCTTCCCGTGACATTACTGTTGTTTACGAAAATGAGAGGACGAAAAACGAATGTCCGGCGCTTTAACCGGATCCCAAACCAATGGTGCACATGGGCTCCAGGATCCTGGGGGAACAAATGGCGTATGGACCGATTTCCGGTCACCGGCTACCATGGGACTGCATCTCCTTACGATGCTCCACTGCCTTGTGGGTTAGACCTTTAGGTCAAAGGCTCGGAGTGTGGTCCCCTAAGATAACCACCTGCTTCAATCTGGGCATCCGGGCAGTATCACAGCTCTCACGCAAATGATGAACTCTCTATATCTATGGAAACTACTTTTCTCGCTTCAAATAACAATCAAATTGTTATCATTACTATTATTGTTATTATTGTTATTATTATTATTATTATTATTATTATTATTATTATTATTATTATTATTATTATTATTATTTACTATGACATTATTCACCCTCTTTTATTCTTACTCTGTCTTTACTTATCTCTTCGACTTATACAGCAGCTCGTCTTTGGTGGAAATTCGACTCTATCTAAACGTTCTCGAGTCACTGTCCGGTTGAAAATTGTATGTTATCACCGAATATGAGTACTGAAGCAGTTTTTCTGAAACCACGTGCACCATTCAAACTGGCTGCCTTCAACGTTCGCACACTTATGCAGGTTGGACAACAGATAGGGCTGGCTATGTCTTTGGAAAGTCTTAATATCGACGTGTGTTGTCTATCCGAGACCCGTATTCAAGACTCTGGTGAAGTACTACAAATTCGCCCTCCATTTGTCGCTTCAAAAAGCGTGTTTTACATGCGCTTATCCGGGGACCCTGTGGCATCTTCGTCTGATCTTGCTGGCGTTGGTGTCGCACTAAGCGCTAGAGCTGAGGCAGCACTAATCGATTGGATCCCCATTAACAGTCGGTTATGTGCTGTTAGATTAGAAAGTTCCATCAAAATGAGAAGAAATAGGCGTGAGAAACGATGTCTTTTCGTCATCTCCGCCCATGCTCCGACAGATTTCAGCCCGGATGCAATCAAGGATGAGTTTTACCATCAGTTATCTGTTCTTCTCCAGAAAGTGCGTTCGACAGATTTTGTAATACTAGCCGGAGACTTGAATGCTCAGGCCGGGCGTCTAGGCACAGAAGAGAGTCGTTTAGGTGGCCGATGGGGACTCGTTGGTCGCAGGTCAGATAACGGGGACCGTCTACTGCAACTGTGCACAGAACACAACCTGTTTCTGGCTAGCACTAACTTTCGGCATAGTCATCGCCAATGTGCCACCTGGCATCCTCCCTCTGCATCCCAAGCCTGGACTCAGATTGATCACATCGCGATCAGCTACCGCTGGCGTGGTTGTGTACAAGACTGTCGCTCCTTTTGGAGTACCTATCTGGACTCTGACCATGCCTTGGTCTGCGCCAATCTTACCTTACTTTTCAGTAGACAACGGATTGATGTTAGCAAGCTGGTTGCAACTTCTGTTGCAAGTAAGTATCGAACCGAGCTAGCTTCTAGGCTAGCTACCATTCCACCGAAAAGTATAGATGAGCATTGGTTGCAATCGTATGACGCCATGAAAATGGCGGGTACAGTCAGTTGTGGGTTCACGAAACGTCCCACTTATAAGCATTGGGTTTCTTCAGGCTCCTTACAACTCATTGAAGCCCGTCGGTCTACTCCGGGTAACCGTGAGTTTGACCACAAACGTAATCAAATTGGGCAAAGCTTGCGTAAGGACCGAGAAGCCTGGTGGTCGGAACGTGCTAATGAGCTGGAAGCAGCAGCTGCATCTGGTAACTACCGGAAGCTCTTCCAACTCATCCGAGCCACTGGCAGCAAGAAGTCTGGTGTGAGTGAAACAATCTGTGAGGATGACGGGATGCCAGTCACTAACATCCCTCGAGGTCTTGGACGATGGGCAGAATTTTTCGAAGGGCAGTTCAACTGGCCTTCTGCTCCGGCAACATCGGTCGGACTATCCTGCCGTCCATGGCAGGTGACGACTGATCCACCAAATGAGGCGGAAGTCCGCGAGGAACTCCAACTCTTGAAGCTTTACAAATCACCTGGCCCAGATGACTTACCTCCGGCTCTTTTTAAAGATGGTGGTGACTTACTAACTAAGGAATTGACGACATTGTTTACAAAGGTCTGGGAGCTAGAGAGTGTACCAACGTCATGGAATGAGTCGATAGTTGTCCCTATCTTTAAAAAGGGTTCACGTCGTTTCTGTAACAACTATCGGGGATAAGTCTACTTCCGATTGCGTCCAAGCTATTGGCTTCCGTCATACTTCGTAGGTTGTTCAAATCCCGAGAAAGATTGACTAGCGAGGAGCAGGCTGGGTTTCGTTCCGGTCGAGGATGTATTGATCATATCTTCACCCTCCGCCAAATGTTAGAACACCGCCATACTTATCAAAGGCCAACAATCGTAGTGTTTCTTGGCATTAGGGCTGCCTTCGATTCGTTGGACAGGACTGTTCTCTGGGATTGTCTATTGAAGAAGGGTGTGCCTGAGAAGTTTATTAACATCCTAAAAGCCCTGTATAAAAACACCTCAGGCAGAGTGAGGGCATACAACCACCTCTCTCCATTGTTCCATTCGAGTAGTGGGGTTAGGCAGGGTTGCCCAATCTCACCATTCCTCTTCAACTTTGCCATCGATGACATTCTGGAAACAGCTCTGATGAATGTAAGTAATGGTGGTGTGGATCTGTTGCCTGGAGAAAGACTTCTTGACCTTGAGTATGCGTACGATATTGTCTTACTGTGCGATAATGCCCAAGGCATGCAATCCGCACTTAATCAGTTGGCAATCAGTGTCCGTAGGTATAGTATGTGCTTTGCACCTTCGAAGTGCAAAGTACTTCTACAAGACTGGCAGGATTCCAATCCTGTACTCACCCTGGGTAGTGAGCAGATATAAGTAACCAGAAGTTCGTGTATCTAGGTAGCTGCATAAGTGCTGGTGGGGGTGTGAGTGATGAGATTAATGCACGTATAGTGAAAGCCAGAGCGGCTCATGCCATTCTGGGCCATCTTTGGCGCCTTCGTGATATCAGTCTGGCTGTAAAAGGTCGGATCTACAACGTGTCAGTGAGAGCAGTTTTGCTCTATGCTTGTGAAACCTGGCCTCTCCGAGTTGAGGATGTTAGACGACTCACTGTGTTTGATCATCGTTGTCTCCGAAGGATTGCTGACATCCAGTGGCAACACCATGTTAGTAATGCAGAGGTTCGGCATCGTGTGTTTGGGCACAGAGACTATAATGCAATTGGTGTCACCATCTTGAAACACCGACTTCGGTGGCTTGGACATGTTCTACGAATGTCGTCCCAGAGAATTCCACGTCGTGCATTATTTGCCGACGCTGGGAGTGGTTGGAAAAGGCGGAGAGGTGATCAGTGTATGACATGGTTTCGTGGAATGAAAGAATGCTGCAAAGGGCTGGCTTCTGTTGGTCCTTCACGACTCCTCGGCTGGGGTTCTATAGATGGTGCAACACAGTGGCTAGAGACGTTGTCAGATATGAATCAGAATAGATGCCAGTGACGATCCTGCATTAACCTTCTTTTACGTTCTTCATAAAAAAGTGGTTGTGTCTTCCTTAACTGAAAGATTTCTTCTGATTGTACCTTTCCGTTCCCCCATTTTTAGCATTATTATTATTACACCACACATCAATCTCTTCGTTGTTATTCTCTTTTTTTTCCTCCCTTTTAAGTTCTCATTGTTTTGTGTGGCGCATATATATTTGGCACATTCTTGTACCAATATTTATGTGTTCAAATAAATAAATAAATAACACACTGTCCACGATCATCGGTTCTAAAACACCTATTTCATTTACTCGGCCGTATTAACCTTAGTTTTTGGATAATTATATAGAAATATTAAAAGAACGGTTATAATAATGGTAGTCTTATATTTAACAGTACAGAACTGATAGAAATCAATCACATATTACAGTATTTCTGAAGAATACTATTACTACTACGAATCTATTTCTTTAAATCAATAATCTTTTCTGCCATTTATTCAACGGCTCAGTGATCAGTTCATATCACTATAGTAATAATACACCCTATGTGTTTTGAAATACTTTCATGCAAAATCAACAGGCTGTGCTAACCTTTCAATGACTCATTTAACCAGTTCATTCAGTTAATATTTGTCAGAATATTCCAATAATACAGTTATCATTCAAGGTAATAAAAAAGATAGTAATTATAGCCTTCTATTTTGGTTATTGACGAGTAGTATAGTTTACATTTATCCGCTTATTACACAAACTTGGTGATAGTTCAAAGTTATTCATAACTGTATAGATAAATCAATTGTCTAGTTCCATTTTAATCTTGCTTTTCATGGATTTATTTCATTTTTTCACTCGTACTCTTTTCAGTCATATTAACATCTTTCTATTTTTGTCGATTTTTCTTCTCTATTTCGAAGTCTGTCAATTTTAACCAAGGTACTTTTGTTTCATGATTTGTATGTCGTGTAGCCTAGTGTTTGTATCACTTCAACACATTTAATTTATCTCATTTAACGGCCAACGATTTAATCATTTCCCCCTTGATATTGTTGTTTTCTTTCAGATAGAATTGCTGGTTGTGAAATTGAACGTGACAAATTATCAACAAGTAAGTTAATATAAGTTTCATTTGTTTTGTTACATTTGCCATTAGTTTTTGCTTATTTTATCTTAATTAAAAGACGCTTCTAATCCAGTAAACAGTCTATTACACAGCAAATATTCGTTGTGTTCTACCGTACAGATTCAAGGTATTATCTTTAAAAATAAGGGATATATATAAGTTGTAGGTATTTGATTATAAAGCATTGCTTGTATGTGACTAAATTACTGAGTAATCAATGCCAAAGTTAAGTTAAGAACCGTTTTTAAAAACAAATGTACTTTAATCACCGGTTTCCTTCTGGGCTTCAGAAGTTAAACTGTCGGTCATGGCCAACGTAGATCGCGGAATAAATGTGTTTTGACTGACGTTAGCATACCACATTAGTACGGTAAGATCAAAGTAACAAGATAAGAAGTGGAGAAATTTAATTAATTAGGTAGAAACAATGATGTGAAAGAATAAGCATTGAGAATATGATCCTGAAAGATGGTAAAAACGGATATTTGAAAGAACACTCGAATTTAAGGTAAAGAGTGTATGCATCTGCGTCATTATGAATGATTCTCATCCAAACTGTGCAACTATTGATCACAATTATCGTGCAGACCCCATTCACGTAGTCTGCATCTACCAACATGGCTCAGGCCAACCGTCATAGGCCTCACGAGCTGATGCCACGTTTCGGTTTGGCCGCTCCAAACTTTCTTCCGACCTACTTCCACAGCAACTAATATCGCACACGTAACACATGTCCAAAACACCTCAGTTGATGGAGATTAACAACCTCAGCAACAGATATGCCATCTTTCCCTGGTACCTTATTTCTAACTTCAACGTCGCTCAGTTGGTTGTCCAACGTTAGATGGGCACTGCTTCGAAAATTTTAACACCTAGCATTTGATCGTATTGAAACGTAAGCTTCCTTCAACCACTCATTCTATATTCTTGTTACATTTTTATTTAGCATATATATGTGAGAATTATATGATATCCTGTTTATGAATGGTAGCAGTCATTTAGCTAAATCTAATAATCATGATGTTCTAGAATGCTAAGTCCAACCCAAATGAGGGTATGCACACATAGATAACTATCTAACTTTTTTCTTAGAAGATTTTATACTTTTATTAGGGATGTTCAGAACCTACTATTTTACAACTTATCTTGAATGGTTTCGAGTTACTGTTCTACCTTCAAATGTTCTCATCCATATATATAGGATAAAGCAAATTTATTTATTTTAAGTAGGCTAATAATTTCGTCCAAAATATACCCAAATGAAACAAATCATGATTGTATTCGACTATATATTACTTAATGCAAGCTATGTTTATCCTTCTGGAAAGAATAGATTACATAAACCGATAACCTCATCTTATTAAATATCTACACACGTGAACTTGAATTAATTACCAGATGTGCCTTAATTTAAAGACGAGTAATTTTACCGGTATATATTGTCGACCTTTCAAAGAAATTGTCTTTTATTACCACTGCCTTTCTTTTTTCGATCACTTTTGAATTTTATTTTACGCCCCATTTTCTAGACATTTCTTTTCTATCGACTGAAATTTTACAAAAAGATACAGCATATCGACATCTGGAAATTAAACATAAACACCTTAAAAATGTAACACATCAATTGCATTCAGGTAAGAAGTTTTGTTCTTTTATCATTTATATTGTGTTTGTCTGTTACTAAGAGGAAAATATCAATTTTTCTGTATCTGCTTAAACTGAACCTGGTGTTTTCTTCTAATGATAAATGCTAGTAAGAGAATAGAGATCATCTAGTTACTTTATACATCCGAGGATTTTTATCATATTCCATGGATTGTATGTATACAGTAATAATCAGTTCAAGTTAGTTATGGGGAATTAATTATTTAGAAGCTAATGTCCATTAAAAATTGATTACTGCTAAAACTGCAGAGCAGGTAATGTCGAACTATATAGATAAGATATAAGTAACTGTTAGTTTATTATCACAGGTGTAATAGATAAATAGTTATAAATTTCTAGAAAGGGACTTTCTTCATTCTCCAAGCTGTTGCTGTATGAATCATGATAAGTGTTTTAGTAATTTACAATTTGACTAGTAATAAAACAACAAGATAGGACTTAATTATCGAATACTACTCTGGTTCCCTCAATATTATCCGAACCACAGTATATTATCTACTTGTCAACTTTAATAGTGTCATTAATGTCTAGATAAAAAATGTACATGAACAGCGAGAAACCACGTATGGTTGTGCTGACTAACCAGATCGAAGCAATCTTAAAATTGAACAACTCTCTTACTTGTTTAAGGCCAATCTTATCACTTATATACAGAGATTGGTTTGTTTCATAGAGCTAAATCGTCCAAATCACTTCATTTGTCCTTAACTACATAAATGGACTGCTAATACAACTATCAAATCTATTGTATTTATATTTCTCTCTATTTAGTTTATTTCATAGTTCAACTTTAAAATTTATTCGATGATTACATTTTTAGCAACGATTGTTAAATTATATAATGCACTTTAAGTGTATAGCTTGTAGGACTTCATTTGCTAATTTGTTTATGTACACTGATATTGTACTCTCTGTATAATGATCTTCAGCTCATGAAGTATGTTCAAATTAACTCTTTATGTAACGAAAGAAATACAGAAGTTTATAATAAAAATTATATAAAAACCTATAACCCCCTCTGAATTGATCCATCAACCCTAATCGTTCTAACATGAATCAGTCATCATATTTAGACTATGCTCATACCCAGCATACTAGCTAGATTTTTATAAGTCTACGATTCTAATATCTGGTTACGGACCAACAAAGTTAGTTACATTTTAGAAAACTCCTACTCACCATTTACAATTTGCTTTAGTTAGTTTATTTATTTTTATTCATGCAACTGCATGGTTAATGAGCCGCCCGTCAGGTTAGCTTTCATTTCTTCCAAAACTGAGTAGAAAGAAGAGATATAAGGAATGATATGCGAACAATAACAAATGAAAGAGAATTTAATACAAAATAATCGCAATCAAACTTATATCAGTTTTGTTCATATCTATTAATAGCTTTGTGTTTGGAAGCAATTTGTTAGGAGTCGAATACTTAATTTCCATATCTGTTTACATTCATGTCCAAACCACCCCAGCAGTATTCAAGTAGATTATGCTTCCTCAAAGATTCGAACCTGAATCACTCAGTGTTTCTTCCAGGAAACTCTTTAGTTTGTTTATTTGCTTATAATAACCTCATTTCCATTCATGGTGTCTATGTGTTATTGTTTAAAAAAGTTTTATACAAATCAAAGATGCATAGCTTTTGTTCACAATTCCAGATATATCTATACTAACAGCTGAATTACGTGACAAAGCCCTAGCTTACAATGAATTAAAATCAGACTACAAATATGTCAGTGATAAAATGAAAGAGTTAACCAATGGTAAATTAACTTTATTTTAATTTCCTTTATATAATTCCATTATTTTTTGATACCTTATTACTCTTCGCGTTGTACAACGTATTGAAAATGCCACAAAATAACTAACTATATATATCTTAACAGTAGAGCAGTGATTCAGTGAGTTATATAAGCAGACTGTTCATGTACGGCCGAGGGTGAGGAGAGTCAGCTCTCTTTCTCCAAATGCTCTCACATGCCCACGCCTATACAGCCACTTCCAGGGAAGTCCTACTCACTGCTTTCTCGCGGCGGGGCTATTATTTACGAAATTGAGAGGACGAAAAGCGGATGTCTGGCGCTTTAACCGGGTTGGTGCACATGGACAGTCTACCTAGGGAAGTTGGAAAACCCTGATTACAAACCATTGACGCACATGATGTTACGTTCAAAGTTTTGCTCATTCCCGTTTTTGAAGTACGGTATAGCGATCTATTTGCAACTTACGAACCCAAATTAACAACAGAACCAAACTCTAATTCAGGTACCAAAGTTTATTCGCAATTTACAAATAGTCGACCCAAAAGTCGTTCTCCAATTTTGTACGTTCCCCGAGCAAAAACCCCCAAATACCAAACCAAAGACAAAAGAAACCAAAGTGTCCGAAAATAATGATATAAATAAACAAGTTCAGAAGTTGAGTAAAGCAAATACATCCGAAAACAGTGAAATTAATAATATTTAATATAAAGGTTTTAATCAGCCAAATGTCTTCAGTTCTCCCGTAACACATGGGCTCCAGGATCCTGAAGGAAAAACGGCGTATGAACCAATCGTTGGTGATAGGCTACCGTGGGACCGCATCTCCTGACGCTGCTCCACTGCCTTGTGGATCAGACCTTTAGATCGAAGGCTCGGGGTGTGGCCCCCTATGCAAACCATCTGCTTCGGTCTGTGCACTTGTGCTGTATCCTAGCCCTCACACAAATCGAATGATTTATGTGGCGCATATGTATTCAATGCCCCTTTGTACTAATATTTATGTGTTCAAATAAATAAATAAGCAGTCAACCTTAAGCCAATGTTTCATAGCTCACCAACCACCTTAACTGTTTTATTCTGGCCTCACACTTATATTTAGTCCTTAAGTCATGATAAAACAGACTATTGGCCATAGTTTAATGTTAAAGAAGGTGTAGAATTTATTAAGCTTTCTTTTCGAATTTAATATTTATCGAACATATTTCTAATAAATAATCGCTTGCCACTTAATCGTTTTCTAGGACTTTTGATGTATCTGAAAATCTATTGATCCTGAGATAAAATTCTAGGTATTTCATTGAAGACGTAAACAAATAAATCCATATTTAAATAAGAAAGATTGGTTCAGCGAAGAGTTCTCTTTTCGGCGAATTCATTTTCAAAGCTGTACAATCGCAAATATATATACTTATTTTTACAGGGTGATAATAATACTGATAATAAACTTCTGTTATACATGGTGAGAGTGAGGTTAAATAAATACCTTTGTTTATTTAACCTCACTCTCACCATGTATAACAGAAGTTTATTATCAGTATTATTATCACCCTGTAAAAATAAGTATATATATTTGCGATTGTACAGCTTTGAAAATGAATTCGCCGAAAAGAGAACTCTTCGCTGAACCAATCTTTCTTTCTTATTTAATGTCATAATGGGTGTATTCCGTTTATAAAAAAAATCCATATTTAACATCGAATATGGTCATCAGTACGATCTTTCTAGTCGATCGTGCCTAGAATGTTTGGATGGTAGCTGAAGTTGAACTATGATTAAAGGTTTACATGTTTCAAATGTATTATGGGTTGAATAACTAAATTTTCAATATCATCTAACAATGAGGCTTAATTGCTCAATACTAACAGTTTTTTTCGCATTCATTAGCTACTCATTGTCTTTGTTTTCTAAAATTTAATTCATTTGTATCAGTCATGATTATGATGAAGATGGAAGTAATATGATATTTGCACGTATTTGTAACTTCAGTGAAACAATAAAATCCCTAAACTTTTTAGCTTAGCCTTCATTTATTTGGTCGCGTAATTGTATATTCTCTTGATGATAAAATGATACTTCAGTTTTGTAGAGATCACATCACTTTCTAAGGTGTTCATCGTAGATTTTTGTCCCACTGTAAACTATTTATTTATAGGTATTTCCACAATTTCTTGTTGAATCCAATCAAACTTCTTTTTTAAATCTCTATTTTTCTTACATATTCTTCGGTATGTATTCAAGCCAATACGTGATCCTTGATTTTTATCACTTGACATGTCTTATAAAGTATACGGTTGACCTAGGAGAAATAGGTACAACTTTTTCAGTAGCATGATATACTAGCCCTTTTATTCCGTAGAACTGCTTTTTATGGTGTTGAGGCTAATTTCTTCCTATTTGGCTACAATATTTCATATCCCGTTAACGGAATATTTTAGCAGGCCAAATCTTCTAGTAGTATTATGAGTTTACTCGAGAATATTCAAAAGCCAGAAAACCGGTTTTTTGGGACGGTGTATTAATGAATTAATCAATTAATGAAACCCGCAAGTACACGGGGAATCGATCGAGTTAAAAAAATCCATATATTATTTATGAGTGTTAATCGATTGTGGAGCTAAGTTATTGATCGTCTATATAAACAACCAATGGGAGGATAGATAAAGAATGAGGTGCAGATGTGCGTTCAATCAGACTCACACATATTTTTACATAGTGGGTTACTTGTCTAAATTACATCAGCTAGGTAATAAAAACTTCGAAGGGCTTGCTATAATGCCACCTATAACTTGCATCTATTTTTCTTACTGCAAATTATTTTACGTATGTTACATTTTTATTATTCTCTTAGACTATTTTTATCACTTTTAAATCCTGATCTTTCATCAGAAATGTGTCTGTGGCAATCTAAGCATTCAATTACATAGAGCTGTTAAGATATTTTTGTTCAAAAGCAGATTCCTTTCACCTATTATGACTTTGCTGAATGTATATTTTAATATTACTGTGTTTTCTGTCGGTTTCATCTTTTTGTATACTGCTGCGAAGCGGCAGCCCAGTGGTTAATGCGTCCCACTTTCGCCCACTAAATCTCAGATTCTTATCCCGCTCTACCTACTTCAGTATGATCAAACAGTATCGCTTGCCCTCACACTTAGAATGTGGGTTAAAGTCTAGTAAACGAATCTGTAACTGGTAGGTAAGTTGTAAAGTGTAATAACTTGAGGTAGCACACAATTTTAGCTAGGTTCTACACTTATCTATTCTTGCTACAAGCATTTCTACTAGGAAAAGTGCAGTAGGACAAATTATATCGTCAGTTCGTTTTGCATTTACAGTGAGTCATCTTTCCTGTCTTTTCACTTTATTGTAAATGTTATTTACGCTAATTTAAAATTACTATTCATTAGTTATCCTTTCTGCTTTCTCTCTTAACCATCAAAATAACTCATCTCTTATTTTATTTTGCATAGAATTGCGAAAATTGAAATTTGCGCTTATGGATTTGAAACGCTCTTCGCTATTTTTTCCCGGTATCAGATTGATCAAAGATATCTTGTGTAAAATTTTAAGCGTTTGCCCTGATCTAGATGGAGAGTAGACAAATAAATGGACTAAAAGTGAGCCATGTCTTCGGGACAGAATAAAGGATAATATATTTTTCTTTTCTCAGTTAATGTTTTCGTCATATTTCTTTATCTTGTTAAGTTTTATTTTGCGTAATTTTGGCGTTTCGTCTAAAATTTCTTTTATCTTACAGCTGATAATGTAAACATTTATACCAAAAGATTATTTATAATTTATCTTCATTATATACTTCATTTTGAGAATTTTCCTTCAAGTCATTACGTCACAGTTTAAACAGTATCATATAAACTATAACACAAATAGTCCGAAATAAATTCATACAAAAATAGAGTGAAGTCTCGATTTATTTGGTTCTTCTCCAATAAATAAATAATGTACCATTATGGTTCTCTTGTTTACGACATATATTTCAATTATTTGGTTCTGATATAATTTGATTTTAACCAATTTGCAGAAATTAGAGCCGTATCTATAAGACAAATCTTTATTATGATGTGTCGGAACTTATTCGGAAATTCTTAAACAATTGTTTTCTGAAGTTCGTTATTTAAAAATTTACCGAATACCTATTCTTTAGTTTAAAATCAGTGATAGGTAGTTAATTAGTTGAACGCTTTGAACACTTGATCTATCTCGGAAGTCGCATTAGTTTCGATAGTTGGGTGTCTAACGAGATATTGCCATAGGTCGGAAATGCTCGCTTGGCTTTTGCGAAATCTTGTCACTTGTGGAGTAAGCGAGGCGCCCATTTGCCAATCAAAAGTCGATTATACTTAGCAGCGGTTTTCTCTATTACTCGATAGCTTTGAAACATGGTCTATGAGAGTAGAAGACACGTGTGCGCTGCAATATTTTTGGTTATATCTGTCTTCAAAGCATTGATCCGCGTATCATGGAACGACCAAGCGAAAAATGTTGGGGTTAGACATAAATTACTAGCCAAATACACCAAGAAGGCTTATGAGTTTAACAATATTCATTAATTTGGACGGTTAAGACACGTGTTACGTATGGATAAACACAGCCTACTTCGGTGAGGGATGTTGGCTACTGTAGAAGTACGTTGGAAGCTAGGAGAGGACAAACTAAAACGTGACATCAGTACATAAAGCTACCGACTGTTAGTCTGAGCCACGACCGTTGTTGCTACCTTGACGTGGTGGTCGGGCTTGCCTATCGTGATGAAGCAACCGAGCTATACTGACTGGAACAACCGTTCCTCAAGGTCCTACCATTCAGACAGGTCGGTTGATGAGCGGTAAGACTAAAAGCAACAAACCCAGGGTCCGAAGGCGAAGTCGTATTGCTGACTGTACAGAGGTGTGACAGCAGTAAGGTGTTTCCTTCAGACAACCAGCATGACAGCGATGCTGCCTTCCTACAAGGAGGGGTGGGGTTAGAAAAGGTCGACCCTAAAAATGTCACACCTCACCTTACCTCACGGATTTCCGTCTCCGGCGGTAAGGCATTTTTGAAGAACGGAGCTAACACGTCAAAAACCTCCCACGAAAAGGCCGTGCGCGACCGGCCTCAAGCAGTTGTCCCTTGGGCACTGCGGTCACGCTATCAGGTCACTAAGACCACCTCTAATCCAATTCCCTTTTCAGGTACCTCCAGAAGAACCCTTCCACGGTGTGGGCAACCGGGAAGTGATAACCGCCCTCATACCTCTAACAGCACGCAAGACCACTGTATTCATAATCAACCTTCCTCTTCAATTCCTATTATTCCTCCTACATCGACTTTCAACCCTAAACCTCCTCCTTCGGCTTCCTCCTCAAGTGTCACCATAGCCAACGGTTCTAGTGCTCAAAACACTCCCAGGTCTACTGAAACCTCGCTCTAAACTACACATTGGAGCCTTCAACGTACGCACCCTATGTCAAATCGGTCAGCAGGCTTCCTTGGCTAGAACCCTAGAGTCTCGTAGGATTGATGTATGCTGTGTCTCTGAAACACGCATACAGGATTCCAGTGTGGTCATTCACTTGACCTCACCTCGGCAAAACGGAGAGTCAACGAGATACACCCTCCGTGTATCTGGTGACCTGACGGCCAGCCCTCGTGAACTGGCAGGAGTAGGGATAGCACTAAGCACGAGGGTGGAACAAGCACTGTTGGAGTGGATCCCCATTAACAGTCGCCTATGTGCTGTTCGGCTAAACGGCTCCGTAAGAACTCGGAAGGATAGGGACACACGTTGCCTTTTTGTCGTTTATGCCTATGCTCCCACCGACTGCAGCTCAGATGAAATGAAAAATGAATCTTACAGAAAGCCATCTGAACTTCTTCAGAAAGCTAGACGTTCAGACATAGTACTTGTAGCAGGTGACTTTAATGCCCATATAGGTAGTTTAAACAAAAACAGAAAGGCACTTACGTGGGTATTTTAGTATTCCGGCTCAGCGAACAGATAATGGTGATCGTCTGCTGCAATTGTGCTCAGACAATCGTTTATTTTTAGCAAACACAAATTTTAGGCATAAAGAGACATCGTCTAACCTGGCGACCCCCTACACCAAACCAACGATGGACTCAAATAGACCATATTGCCATCAGTCATCGTTGGAGAGGGTTGGTAGAAGATTGTCGCTCATTCTGGAGTACCTGCTTGGACTCCGACCATGCCCTAATACGGGCACGCATCTGCTTTTTGCCTCATTAGACGCAAAAAAGCCACAGTAAAAAGACCCATTAGAATTGAATTGAGTAGTGAGAAAACGAAAAGTAGGTTCCAGGAACAACTGAGGTCACAGTTACGTAGTTCTGGAAACGAGGCTGACCCAGATGTTGCTTGGAATGAAATACAAGCAGCTGTGGAAACAGCAGTGACATCTATCAGTGATTTAAACTACAAGGTTACAAAGAACCAGTGGATTTCCTCTAGGACTGTTGCACTGATGTATTCTTGTAAACTCATCCCATCAGGCTCTGGACACGATGAAGTGCGACAACAAATCAGATCTAGGTTAGGCAAAAGTCTAAGAAACGACCGTGAGCAGTGGTGGGCAACGAAAGCAAAAGAGATGGAAAAGGCCGCGGCTCTAGGGAACACAAGACAGCTTTACAGACTAATAAAAGAAACTGGAATTAATAAGTCAAGTGTAAGTCAGACTATTTCGGAAAAAGACGACACCCTCATCTGCTCCTAGTCCAGACGTTTAGAACGATGGGCGGAACATTTCATAGAACAGTTCAGCTGACCTTCAGCTACTCTACAACTACCCTCCATTCCCAGACAGTGTGAATGGAACATTGAAGTAGGTCCCCCAACTCTTGCTGAAGTTCAAAAGGCTATAGTTAATCTGAAACGAGGAAGGGCAGCTGGTCCAGATGGATTGGCTCCAGAGGTCTTTAAGGATGGTGGTCCAATTTTAGCGATTAGGTTGACTAATATTTTAGCTAAGATCTGGGAGTTAGACGTTATCCCATCTAACTGGTCACAATCACTTATCGTCCCAATATATAAGAAAGGGTCAAAATCATCCTGTGACAACCACAGAGGGATTAGTTCAATTAATATAGTATCTAAAATACTAGCCTCGATAATTATTAGACGCTTAACTAAGACTCGTGAACTGCAAACACGAGAGAACCAAGCTGGCTTAAGACCTGGTCGTGGCTGCATCGACAACATATTCACCATTCGTCAGGTCCTAGAACATAGGCATACCTACCGGCGTCCGACATTGGTAGTCTTTCTTGACTTAAAAGCATCATTTGACTCGGTAGACCGCGAGATTCTGTGGCAGTGTCTGTCATTGAAAGGCGTACCCCAGAAGTACATAAACCTTGTGAAGGCTCTTTACTCGAACACTACTAGTCGAGTCAGAGCTTATGGCGAACTGTCATCTACTTTTGCAACCTCAAATGGTGTCCGTCAAGGCTGTCCACTTTCCCCATTTTTGTTTAACTTCATCATAGATCTACTGATGGAAACGTTCTAGTTGACTGAATTTTCGGGCATCGATCTCCTACCAGGAGGTCCACTTATCGACTTAGAATACGCAGATGATATAGTCCTGTTTGGTGAAGACGCTGATAAAATGCAGTCTTCTGGTAGCACTGAGCAACAATGCCAGAATGTTTGGAATGCGCTTCTCCTCCTCTAAATGCAAGTTGTTGCTTCAGGACTGGTCTGGGTCAACACCTGAACTAAGGATAGGGAGTGAAGTAGTCGAACGCGTTGACAACTTCACTTATCTTGGAAGTCTGATCAGCCCTAATGGGTTGGTATCGGACGAAATCTCAGCACGGATTCGAAAAGCTCGTTTGGCTTTTGCCAACTTGCGTCACCTATGGCGAAGGCGATATATCCGTCTATCAATAAAAGGACGAGTATACTGCGCGGCAGTCCGTTCTGTTTTAATTTACGGCAGCGAAACATGGCCATTAAGAGTAGAAGACACTCGTAAGCTATTAGTATTTGACCACAGATGCCTTAGAAATATTGCTGGCATCTGCTGGGATCACCGGGTAAGTAATAGTGAGGTTCGACGCAGGGTATTAGGGAATGATGGTAAATCAGTTGATGAGGTTATGAATCTTCATCGACTGAGATGGTTGGGCCACGTATTACGTATGCCTGAACACCGACTACCACGACGTGCAATGCTATCCGGTTTTGGAAATGATTGGAAGAAAGTTAGGGGCGGCCAAACCAAAACGTGGCATCAGTGCTTGAAGTCACTAACTTCTAGTCTGAGCCATGTTGGCAGATGCAGACTACTTGGTTGGGGTCCGCGTGACTATCGTAACCAATGGTTGGAGACTCTTGGTGACATGGCTCAGAATCGATCACAATGGCGTCGGTGTATACACTCCCTGTCTTCCCTTAAACTAAGAGATTAAAATCACTTCATATCTTTCTTTCTACGAACCAATTCTTTCTTCTTGTACTATATCTCTATATGCAATCTTTCTCTTACATGCTATGAATCCGGTGTTCATCTTGTTGTGCTGATGCGGTATGGCAACCTGGACCGATGCGTATACGTGCCTGGTCCTACGTTGTAGCTTATTGATTGGTTGGGGTGCGCACGATAAGTAGTTGGAAACGGGTGATATTTCAAATCCGGTCACAATGACACACACGCACTCTTTATCTCGCTCTAGATCTTCAGTCTCAGTATTCCTTCACATATTGTACCTTTGCATTTTTTCAAACCTCATTCTGGCTATTCTGTAGTTACCCATAGTTCGTAATTATTTGTGTCTGATATATCTAGAAATCTTCAACTGTGCTCCACATATGCGACGTTTCGTGCAGCATGACATTGGCATTGTCTCTGCATAAATGTAAATCAGTCTGATTTACAAACTTAGGTTTTCTTAATATTTGTAATTTCAATCTACCTTTTTCATATTGAATTTTAAAGGTTGCTAAGTGAGGAAAACTAACTTTCACATATGAAATCTTAGAGATTAAACGCTTTGTAAGTGACATTCATGCAACATTGTCCTAAATAGTTGCTATGGTATCCGTTTACGGTATTCGGAACGATTACGAAGGGTGATAAAAACAATTCTACCAACCACTGAAGTGGTGAATA